GTTTATAGTGAATTACTCTGAAGTTGGATCTAGTAACTATAAACTATTAACTTTTATTAACTTTGTTACTAGATCCAACTTTAGAGTAATTCACGTTTATAGTGAATTACTCTGAAGGTGGTAATTGTATATACGTCAAATAAATTGCCCGATATACTTGATAGTTATAAACTATTAACTTTGTTAGTAGATCCAACTTCAGAGTAATTCGCTATAAACTATTAACTTTATTAACAGATCCAACTTCAGAGTAATTCACTATAAACTATTAACTTTGTTACAAGATCCAACTTCAGAGTAAATCACTATAAACTATTAACTTTATTAATAGATCCAACTTCAGAGTAATTCGCTATAAACTATTAACTTTATTAACAGATCCAACTTCAGAGTAATTCACTATAAACTATTAACTTTGTTACAAGATCCAACTTCAGAGTAATTCGCTATAAACTATTAACTTTGTTACTAGATCCAACTTCAGAGTAATTCACTATAAACTATTAACTTTATTAATAGATCCAACTTCAGAGTAATTCACTATAAACTATTAACTTTGTTACTAGATCCAACTTCAGAGTAATTCACTATAAACTATTAACTTTATTAATAGATCCAACTTCAGAGTAATTCACTATAAACTATTAACTTTGTTACAAGATCCAACTTACTAGTTTCATCAGTTTCCTTGTTTAAACTACCCACCTTCACTATCACTTGAAGTACAGATCTTAGTTTCACCAGTTCCTTGTTTAAACTACCTACCTTCACTATCACTTGAAGTACAGATCCTAGTTTCATCAGTTTCCTTGTTTAAACTACCCACCTTCACTATCACTTGAAGTGCACTGAAAGTACACTGTCTCACTTTAGCTTGAAGCGAACGAAGTTTCAAGACTTGATTTGTTTCACTGTCTGAATAATCAGATTCTGAACTGCTGGTTCGGGACCAAGATGGAAAATAGAATGAATTACTACGAGCAGATGTACCGTGCGACTGAGATGCATACGTATATCCTGAGTCCGACACGTTTCCTTGGAAAAAATAGATAAAACTTCTGTAAGACAAGCACTGTCATAAACTTAATTGTTCTGGTTGACACCTTAATATGAAATTGGAGTGACAATAAAAGTGAAATGATCAGTATTACTATACTTGCATGTCGTGACTAGTTCACAATTTCTACACAGGTAATTTTGATTACAGCATAGGAATGGATGTAATGTTAATCAAGAGACTGAACTATTTAGGTATTTTAATCTCCACTACCTAACGTTTACTGGTGTAATGATTGACGAATCGAGAAGTACACACTAAATGGTATCGGAGCATCTAAAAATATTTCTCGTAATTCTTCAAATGAATTATATTCTATTATAAAACAAACTATTTTGTTAAAGTTTATTGAGATGAGCAACATTTAAGGTAAGTAATTACAAACAAGTGGATGAAGGTAGTTAGCCAACCTTCCGAGAGCTGGTCATCTTCTTTCTGACTCTGCTCTTTACCACCCTTCATGACATCTGGTTTCTTCTTTGTTCTCTTCTTCTGATTGGCTGGCTGATTGAAAAACAAGAAAACACCAATACAATATATAACTAAGACCCTGGATTACTACAAACTGGATTAATTTTACTTGATAACTGCTCTCTTGTTTCAACATTACTCTAAAATCACACACACACACACCCACGTCAAATATCATGAAATAATCTAACTACAATATTTTCACTTTTTTCATTAAGAGAAAATTTTATTACCCATATCAATATAAGTGGAGCCTAATAATTTAAATTACAAGATGAAACAGGATAGGTTTCCCCTTAAAACTCACCCGACTATTTGCCCTGCTAACCTGAGAAGATAAACAGGGCAGTGATGGAACAAACTGACTAACGGGCGTTGGGTAGAGACAAGTAGGATTGGACGTCATGAAACCAGGAAGTCCATAAAATAGATATGCCTATAAATATTAGCACCAATATACAAATATATATATATTATCTGTACTTCAAGTGTTAGTGAAGGTGGGTAGTTTAAACAAGGAAACTGATGAAACTAGGTTCTGTACTTAGTGATAGTGAAGGTGGGTAGTTTAAACAAGGAAACTGGTGACACTAGGTTCTGTACTTCAAGTGATAATGAAGGTGGGTAGTTTAAACAAGGAAACTGATGAAACTAGAT